AGGGGGGGCTCTGTAGGTCTTGGGAGGGGCTCTGCGGGTCTGGAGGGGGGCTCTGCCGGTCTGGGGGAGGTACTGCGTGTCCGGGGGGGGGTCCTACACCCGCAGCACCCCCTGTCGTGGAGCAGGGTGGGGGTCCCGGGGTGGGGGGGATCACCCCGTTTTTCGGTCTCCAGCCCCCCCCCCCCCCCCGCACTGCGCCAGGCACGAGGAGGGGTTCACCCCCCCACACCCTGCACGGGCGCGGGGGCGGAGCTTCCCGTGGCCCCGCCCCCCTCGGGAAGCTCCGCAGCCGGTGGAATTTTCCACTCGCCGTCCCGCGCGCGCGCCCGTGGGCTCGCGCCGGCCCCTCCCCCTTCCCGCGCGCGACCCCCCCACCCGCCTTGACCACGCCCACAGAGCGGGCACAGGCCCCGCCCTCCCAACACAAACCACGCCCACCCACATCGGCTCCGACTCCTCCACCTTCCCGGCAGCCCCCGCGGCGGGACAAGATGGCGGCTGCCATGGCGGCTGCCATGGCGGCGGGGCTGGGCCTGAGGGTCCCGCGGCTCCTGGGGCAGGTCAGGCTCTGGGAGAGCGCAGTGAGGGGCTGGGGGCGCTTCAGGAGACCGTGGGGGACGCGGGAAGAGGGATACGGGGCGCTCAGGGGCGAGGGAGTGCGCGGAGGGAGGCGGGACAGGTGGTGTGTGTTCGCGCCTGGGAGGTGTGAGGGGAGGTAAATCGAGGTGTTGTTTCCCTTCCTTAGGCTGCGGGGTCCGTGCTGCGCCCCGCAGCGGCTCCGTCCTGCCTCGTTGTCCCGGTGAGAACGAGGAAGAAGAAGAGTTATGCGGTGCCCGAGTGGGCCCGGGAGCTGACCCCCGAGGAGAAGATGAAGCGGCTCAAGACCTTGGCGCCAGAATTTCCAGATGAACACATAGAACGGACCTTCTACTTGGCTTGCACAGGTGGGGCCAAAAAGTACGAATTGGCATGTGAATCATCAAGTTCCACGCAGGGACACCTTCCACTAGCCCAGGTTGCTCCAGGCCCCGTCCAGCCTGGCCTTGGACACTTGGTGATGATTTGTGTCAGCTCACACACATTATCACCTGCTCCTTTGATTCCTCCATTTTGCTGGTTCTGAGCTCCCTCCTGGCCTTTCCTCCCTCTCCCAGGTGACATCATAGATCCATACGTCCCTCCCGAGGGCGATGCCCGCCTGTCCACCCTGTCCAAGGAGGGGCTGAAGCAGAAGATGGATAAGCTGAAGCAGACAGCGGCCTCCAAGCTGGCGTGAGTGCCTTCTTGTTCATTAATTAGCTTAATTCGGGGCTGCAGGAGCTGTGTTGGTTTTGTCTCTGTGAGATACTGGGGGGGTTGAGAGACTGCCATCACCCAAGACACCTGGGACAGCTCCAACCTGTTCCTTTCCTTCCTTTCCCTGTTCTTCCAGCTTGCGGAAGAT